ATCTATTCTCTGCCTCCCGAGTCCCAGCTGATAGGGAGGAAATGGGGATTTTGCAGTATCCTTCCCCTGCCACACCCACCAAGCCACAGCCACAGAACCGGTAGTAAAAATTTTTTCAATCCCACCACTGAGTTGCAGATATTATTTTCTTTCAGAAGACAACCTGAAGGCTAGGAATCTGGGGCCTCGGATGCTAAACCAAGCCCTACTGGAAAACCAGAGGAAGATTCCATTATTCCCGACTCTGATTTGGAAGAACTGAACCAAGAAATAAAGGCAAGACCAAAGGGCAGAACTAGTAGAGGGTCAGAGTATGACAAAGTGTGGAAGACTTTTGATGAGAGCTGAAGTTTGATCTTCTAGTCCTTCCTATTTAAAATCTACATGCTAAAATGCACAATCTGGCGGTTCTCTTGGACTCACAGTTGTTGCTGGAAGAGCAGGTGGCAGTCAGGTTATATGCCTGAAAGTAGCAGTCATTCCTGAATTGCGAGACCTCATTCAATGTCATTCATGCCCTTGTGATCTGTCTAGATTTCTACAATTAATGGGATGCATCTCCAACGAGACTACATAGAAATGAAGCTTCAAGCTGGGAAATTTCTAGTTTATGCTAACCAACTTCTATCAGTTTTCATTCCATTTTCCGAGATAATCATTTGTTTTTCAAAATATTTCAGTTGCATTGATAGATTTTAAAATCTTTGTAACAGAAATCTTCATAACACTTCATATCTCAGTAGATCACTACATTAAACAAATAAAAATCTTCATAGCTTGTATGGAAGCAACTTATTTCCTTGACCTTTTCCACTTATTATGCCTAAACAAACCAGCCATTTTTTCATTGAATGAATAAAGCCCAATTATTTCTTTATATGTTTAATAGATATTATTGATTACACAGCTTTTGAGAAAGCCTAAACCTTGTTAAAATATTTACAAAGATCCACTATCTCCAATTACACAACACATGCAGGTTAGGTAACCCAACCCTTTCACTTTCATATTACAAACCTTAATTTATTTGTTCCAGCTTTGTATCTCGAAATTCGAGCCATTGATAGAGGAACTGATAACGTATCCAGCCAACGCTTCTCATATTTTGGTTCATTAGCTGTGGGTGAAGAAGGTGATGATGGTGCCTGAACAGAATAAACGAAAAATAACAGTATGTAACATTATGTAAAAAACATAAATATTTGTATGTGGATATGCTATTTTTCTGGGTGAATAGAATACAAGTAATAATACTGTTTAGAAAATTTAGATTGCATATGTTAGGAATATAATCTAACGGTTGGGTTGGCATATATAAATCATGTAACAATGCTATACCTGTTTCTTTAAATCATACTGTAAAATGTGATTGGTTGCTGTATTCCTCAATCGGCCATAAGAGGGAACCAGAATGACTGTTAGCTCTCTGTTAGATGCTGGGCTGGTCTGATCTGAGTGTTTTGGAAGCTGGCTATTAGAAAGTGCCGTGAGCTATTGTAAGTTCTGCAACTGCTAGCAAACTTTGAGTACTAGACTGTTTGTATGAGTATGGACTATGTTATTTGGATTATCCCTTAACTGAAAGACATTGATGACTGACTGTCTTATCCGTGTATGACNATTTGGTGGCAACTTTGAGGAGGCTCTGAAGGGTACAGGTAAGGTTTTGAGGGAATCTGAAAGTTTTGCAATCTTAGTTTATTGCCTTTCTCTTATTTCCCATTAACATTACGAATGCAGTGTAGAAATAAAAAACCTCTTGTAAGATAAATGAAAAAGGAAAACAAAACAATTATTTGCAGAACGTTTAGTGTCATACAAGAGTGAAACATTATGGCTGAGTGGATTTCTATGCCATACAGCTAAGTGACAAGTAATTGCCATGCAATGAGATTTGTGCATTGCTGCATGTAAAGCAGGGATCAAGAAGAGAAATATGATACAAGGTGATTTGGTGCTGAAATAAGAATCCTATTGAAGGAGGTGGTCCTTCTGATAGTCTCATTCCATATCATTTAGATAACAATCAGCACACTGAGCTACATTTCAGAAACAAGCCAGAATCCAGGGCTTACTAAACTTTACTGGAGTGATGTGAGATTGAAAAAACAAAACAAAAAACAAACCCTGATTACTGAACATTGCATTTGGAACAGCTTGGAAATACTTTTCAAGCAGTGCATTACAGTCAACAGAAGCCAGATCAGAAGCCAGATTTTTGGGTAATGCTCATTGCAAACCAAGACTCTGCACAAATACATCTGGGCATTTAGAAGCAATGTCAGGTCCAGAAATATTTCCATTTTTTTTGGCTTTCAGGAAAACTGAAATCCTATCCAGAAGAGGTTGCCTTTCCTCTGTTTCAGTTTTGCTAACGGCATTCTTATGTTGGCTAGAATAAACTTCAGAGAAGTGGCCCACATCCAATCCCCTCCTGGCTCCTCTTACTGGTTTACCTCAACTGATAAGAATATTGATAGATATTATCTATAAAATGACATCACCTGAAATACTCCCAACAGTATTTAAACCAATATTGTGTGTATAAAAATATACAGTATTGGTTTAAAAACGTGGAAGGTGAGAGGCACTCAAAGAGCTCCTATAACTTGAAAGCAAAAGGCTCAACAAACAGCCTCTGTCATCTCAAAACAGCATCCATGAATCTTCAGCTTGGAAAGCCTGAAATAAAGCCACACTCAATTACATCTAAAAGCTAAAAAGTATTGAAAAGCTAAGCAGAAGCAAAAGGAATCCTTTCCTTCCCACCAATTTTCAGTGCAGCTCATTCCGTAAGGTGACCAACCACGCCAAAACCCAGCCTTGAACACAGAGGTTCATCCCTGCAATATTTTTTTTTATAAAAATAAGGAGGCCAATTGGATTTAATTCCTGATACAACTAATATAGTGGCTATATATATATATNATGAGTTATGTTTGTTGACTGTAGAGGAGATGTACGAAAGTTTATTTGTGACCGACTGATACACTCTCTATAGCATGTAAAAAAGGATGTTGTACTTGTTTTAAATTAAAAATTAAAAAATTTTAATATTAAAAAAAAATAGTGCCATTATTATTTTTGTTAAATACATAAACCTCACACCTAATTGGAAAGCGAGTTTATTGACAACATTTTCTTCTCAATATCTTATTTGCTTCATTAGCATGACAATGATTGAAAATTTTTAACTTGCTTTTTTTCAATATTTGCAAAAATAGAATGACAATGTACACAGCATATTTTGATGCAGTCGATCCTGAAAAGGTTAAGCAGATTCCAGTTTGGTAAGTAGCTAGTTGGAGACCTGGAACTTCCAGGGCTGCAGTCTAGATTGGGAAGTTGAAAAAAGAAGACAACAATGTCTCTGTGTTTTTGCCAACAAAATAATATAGATACGTATATTTTTATTTATTATTTATTCAATTTATATGCCGCCCTATTCCCAGAGGGAATATATCCAGGTAAGCATCAGTAGTTGAATATACAGTTATATATTTTAAATACTGTATATCTCCCTCTATTTGGTTTTCTTTTGGAGTGGATGGGAAGGTAGAGTAAGTACGATGCAGCATTAGAATTCCAGTGCTAAGACTTGCTTCATTTCCTACATAACAAGTGAATATGCATACTTTGGAAAATTTGCAGAAAATAACCCTTTTCAATGATCGATTCCTGTTTTTCTAAGTGTCGTCTCTCATGACATGGTAATGAAGATATTTCTTTTATAACTGAGGCCAATTTGAAAAGTTGTACTCCGCTCTTCTTTTTCCTTGGAGCTATGAAAGATCGCAAGGATTTTTAAAAAAAAACAAACAGCCATCTAAGAAATAGTTAATTGAAGGAGTTCTCTTATTAGCCACTGAAGAACCAACAAGGTTCACAGTAAAAAGAAGAAATAATTTTGGCTAAGGATTTTCAAAGCCCTAAAGAGAAGAAACCAAAAGAAAGGCTTTGGCCCAGCTTCATAAATGTATGAAAAATACTACCTTAATAATCAATCATATCAATATTAAAATTACAGAATTGACTTGCAGTCTTTCATTACAGAACATGAAAAATGTAGGCATATCAGATAAGATCTTTAATGTTTCAAACAAAACTGTGATAGACTATAATAGTGCAGAATTATGACTCACTGGGTCTGGGAAATAACATCTTTAATAGGACACAGAGAAAAAAATATGCTTAGCTGAACAAAATCCTGGTTTATCCACCATCAAGCCTCTTTTCTTCTGAAACACATCAATTTCTCCTTTTCTTTGTTCTATCAAGTCCCTTTTCACACTGTTTTGTGTTACCCGGCATTGCATTCTTTCCACTTTGAAGTACTCCTTCACAACTAGGACTTCAATACCACACAACAAAAGTGTATTAGCCTCTCCACTGTTAGAACAATTTTCCCCTTGAGTCCCCTGTTTTTCCGAAATGCTATCGGTATAACTTAGTAGAATCATGTACAAAATTAATTGTATTAACCTAGTCTTCTATTTTTTAATTCTTGGACTCCAACCATTTAATGATGCTTACCCTCTTTGATCCCAACCTTGTTCATATTCCATTACTACCTTCTTTTTATATATCTGGAAAGAGCAACTTTCGATAATGCATTTCAACTCTAAATCAAAGGCCTATATGTACACTACAGATATAAACTTCTGTCTCAGATACATCAAGGCATGTGGGGCCATCTTAAATATACTCAATTCAGAATGAGGATAAGACATTCAGGTAATTCTTGAGAAATAGCAGGCCATTTAATGACTCTTCAAAACAGCAACTGACATCCCAAAAGTACCTACGAATCTGTTTCAGTTATGAGCAGATTCAGTGCTCCTGCGGTTGTTCACGTCTATGACAGACCCCGGGGCTGCTCCTCTGCCTGTCTTCTCCCCTCAACCCCCTGCAGCCTTTAGGGCCCCCCCCCCAATACCTTCCAGGAACCCTAAAACAGCAGTTGCTTTCTGCACCTATCAGCTGGCCCCCAGCAGGAGGCTGCAAAACTCTCCTGCGCCTCTGGATAAAAGGCAGCTCCACGACCAGCCTCCCCAAACCTTTCCCTTGCTTCCTCTCCTCCCTCCTCCGGGCTTCAATAAAAGCAAAAACAAAAGAAGCTGCTGAGAGGGAGGAACCTGTTGACCTCCCCCACCCCACCCCACCCCACCCCATACTAGGTGCTAAAGCTAAACCTGCCCCCTGTCCTCCAACCAGGGTGAAATGCTACCAGTTCGGATGGTTTGCTGGAACCAGGAGCGAAATAAGCTACCAGCTCAGGCAAATCGGTATTTCTGACAGTCAGCTGTGATGTGGGATTTATTGAAATCGTGTGGCACAGCAGATTCCCCCCTCCCTGTTCTACTTCCCTTTGCCACCGCGCTCAGTGGCAGACTCCGCCCACCCACCCGGCGTCATCATGTCAGTTTTTGACGCTCTGTGTGTGTGTGTAAGGTCCTGCGCATGCACGTAGGTGGTGCATGCGAGCAGAGCATGCACGCACATTTGTGAACCAGTAGCAAAGATAAGTAGACTTCACCCCCTGCCTCCAACCAATATCCCTTTTAAAAACCTTGCCTTGACTCCAGGCTGAAGAGAAGAGGAACCAAGCGAGCAAGAAGAGAAAAATATTTCTGCAGCCTTCTCCCCATGAAGTGAAGAAAAAAAGGACTCTGGACCTTCTCAAGCTTTAGACCTGCCTGGCTGCCTGTAAAGGCTGGACTGAAGAAGCCTCTGCAGACAGTCAAATACACAGCAAAAGCCTGCAAGGTCCCCACGGCCTCCATTTTCTGGTCCAACTTGTCAACATCATTTATTTTTTGACTTCAGGGGGTTGAGGAAAGATTTTCTCTCCTGCTTGCTTGCTCCTTTGGTCTTCAGCCTGGAGTCAAGGCAAGGTTTTTGAAAGGGACAGTTGGTTGAAGAGCAGAGGGAGAACTGAGTTTTAGTACCTTCTGGTCATTCGGGTTAACAATTCACTCGTGTGAACAGGGATGTCTGGTCCTTTTCATGAGGCAGTCTCATTTAACATTATTTTGACTTCTGACCCGGATGGGCAGGCTTCATTTTGGTCGTAAGTGGAAGATTACCTTATAGTCTGTGATCAAACAGCAAAAGCTGCATTTTCCCATTGGTAATTACTAGTCCC